AAATTGATATTTTCTTACTCATTATTTATTATTGTCAAGATGAAGCATCACTGAAAGAGAAAAAAAAAAAGAATAGCTTTATAAGTAAATAAATTGATTTTTTTCTCTTTTAATTATGGGAGTTAAAGAAATTGAGAATCATATGGCAAATACAAAAAGAACCATGCATGCAACTTCCATTATTTTGAACATGATATTAATGTATTTAATGCTAAACTTTTTTAAATAATTAAATAATTTTACGAAATTCTTGTACTTTTTTAAATAAATCAAGTACCAGGAAATTATAATTTTAGAAATTTAAAAAACAAAAAAAAAAGAAAATAAGAAAAAAAAAAAAAAAAAAAAAAAAAGAGAGAATTGAGAAAAAGTACATAATGCATAGAGCAAGAAAATACAAGGGTAAAATTGTAAAAACAACCTCCCCTTTGTATCACCGGCTATTGCCAGTTGGCGTTGATCCAACGTCCAAAAGGGTTTACTTCCTGAGGAAGGAAATAACTAACCTGAGACATTCCGTGGAATCATTTCACAAAATCCTATACACCGTGTTTGGATCGCGTGACAGACCTATCCCCTCTTAGAATAATGTTATTCCAGTTTTAGGTTTTGCTCGGCCATTTTATTTTCACCCACCAAAGCAATTTAACATTCTGAAAATTAATTATTACAGTTCAACTTTTTACCAGCTTTCATTCACTCACCATCAATTAGTTTTACTATTTTACCTCAATACAAGCTGAGTAATATGGATATATTGTTGCACTAATGGTGAGTAGAAAGCTTATTACTTTTACTTATAAGCCATAAGCTTATAAGACAATCTTGCATCATAGCTTATTTTCTAATCAAACTAGTTTACATACTAGTTTGTTCAATAAATAAATAAATAAATCTAACCAATCGCCTTTTCCTCTCGTGGGATCTAATCGCATCATCAATACTGGTAACGTGGTAATTATGAATGCGAAAATCGATCATCAAAGCGAAAGTATATCCATTCCCATAGTAGATTAATTTTACATTTAATAATCAA